ACTCTTCCCTCCCACCCTCCTCCCAGCTAGTGTCATATCTGCTCCTACATGCCCCTGCTGGGAGCCCCTGCCATAGCCAGTGCCCTGCCTGACCCTGTGGCGCCCCCTGCCTGCCTTCATGGTGCCCCTTGCCATGAGCTACCCCCGCTGCCAGTGCCCTGCCTGCCCCATGGCACCTCCCACTGGGGTAGGCGAGGCAGGGTAGTGGAGTGCTGCTTTCACTGTCCATGCTCTCTATTCTCTTTCCCCAGGTCACTCTGATGACATCTTTTATTCCATCTCCTCGGGAGATCCCCACGGCTATTTCTGCATGGACTCCAGCTTGGGACAGCTCCGCATCAGCCTCCCTCTGGACCATGAGGTCCAGGCGGTTCTGGTTCTGGACGTGCAGGCCCGGAGTGGCTCACCGCCTGCCTACAGCAATGCGCAGGTGAAGATTGCCGTGTCAGATGTGAATGACAATGCGCCAGCCTTCCTGGCCCCTTCGGACTCCATCCTGCTGCCAGAGGCCACAGAGGTGGGGGCTACTGTCTACACGCTGCAGGCGGAGGATCGGGATAGTGGTGCCAATGGGCAGGTGCACTTTGAGCTGGTGTCGGGTGGGGACGGCATCTTCAGCGTGGAGCGCTCCTCAGGCACAGTGCGGCTGGGGGGGGCCCTGCAGTACGAGGCCAGTGCTGCCTATGAGCTAGCCGTGGTGGCACGGGACAGCGGTGTGCCCCAACTCAGTGCCACCTTCACCCTGCTGGTGCACGTGCAGGCAGAGCATGACCATGGGCCCATCTTCGACACACTCACCTACCGTGTGGAGGTGCGGGAGGGCACGCCTGTCTCCACTCGCGTCCTGCAGGTGCGGGCCCTGGGGCGGGACGCCGGCACCACGCCCCTCACTTACCACCTGCGTGCTGATGGCGACGCTGCCAGCTTTGGCATTGTGCCCGAAAGCGGCTGGCTCTACGTCAAGAGTGCGCTGGACCGGGAGACGCGGGACCTGTACATGCTGACAGTGCTGGCGTCTGCAGGGGCAGGCGGCACCAGCAGTGAAGCCAGGAAGACGGGCACCAGCACGGTGCGGGTCAGCATCACTGATGAGAATGACAACAGTCCTCGGCTCAGTGAGGAGCGCTACTTCTTCACCATTGCAGAGAACCAGCCCCCGGGCAGCAGGGTGGGCAAGGTGACCGCCAGTGACCGGGACATGGGGCAGAACAGCCGTCTCACCTACCGCCTCCTCCAGCATGATCCCAACTTCCTCATCCACATGCAGTCTGGTGAGAGACCCCAAACGGGTGCAGCTGGCAGGGGAGGAAGAGCCACTGAGACCCAAGGGGACATGGAAGGCCCGTGACGTTCCTAGGGGTGACTGTGGGTAGAGCAGCGCTGGCCCCAGCATGGCACCACGGGGTGCCGACAGCACATGCTGGCTAGTTAGTTCCTGGAACTGTCCCCAGGCAGAGTGCTTTGTCTGGGGGTACCCTGCTCTCCCATCCCGCCCCAGAGCTCCCATGGCCTGAGGGAGGCCAGCAGCCCTTTGGGGAAAGCCAGGCCCGTCACTGAGGGTGTGTCTAGACTGCATGGCTCGCGAAAGGAGGCTACAGGATCTAACGACAAAGGGATCTGGGGTCGTTTGATCCCCATCTGGACTACCGCGCCATGCTGACGAACAGCTGATCGGCACAGCGCGGCGGCCATTTTGATGTAAATAAAGCGGCGATTATTTAAATCGCCGCTTCATTTTGCTATGTCTAGTAAACTCATCTAGGTGGCTCCGTCGATGGAGCCGTGTAGTCTAAACACACCCTGAGTGACGGCTGTGACTGGGCTGGGCAGGGGCAGGCAGAGCCCACATCTCAGGACAGCAGCACGGAGAAGCCAGCCCAGAGCTGCTGAGATTTAAGGAAGCTTGAACAGACAGAGGGTACGTCTACACTACCACCCTAGTTCGAACTATGCTGGTTAATGTAGGCAACCGGAGTTGCAAATGAAGCCCGGGATTTAAATTTCCCGGGCTTCATTTACATCTTGCCGAGCGCCGCCATTTTTAAATCCCCGTTATTGTGGACTCCGTGCCCGCGGCTACACGTGGCACGGAGTAGGTAGTTCAAATTAGGCTTCCTATTCCGAACTACCGTTACACCTCGTTCCACGAGGTTAGGGGTCACACTCCCCAGAGGAGGGTCGGTGTGACCTCGTCTCACGGAGGTTTGGGGTAACACTCCCCAGAGGAGGGTCAGTGTGACCTCATCTCACGGAGGTTAGGGGTGTCACTCCCCAGAGGAGGGTCGGGGTGACCTCGTTCCACGAGGTTAGGGGTCACACTCCCCCGAGGAGGGCCGGTGTGACCTCGTTCCACGGAGGGCAGGGGTCCCACACCCCAGAGGAGGGTCGGGGTGACCTCGTTCCACGAGGTTAGGGGTCACACTCCCCCGAGGAGGGCCGGTGTGACCTCGTTCCACGGAGGGCAGGGGTCCCACACCCCAGAGGAGGGTCGGGGTGACCTCGTTCCACGAGGTTAGGGGTCACACTCCCCCGAGGAGGGCCGGTGTGACCTCGTTCCACGGAGGGCAGGGGTCCCACACCCCAGAGGAGGGTCGGGGTGACCTCGTTCCACGAGGTTAGGGGTCACACTCCCCCGAGGAGGGCCGGTGTGACCTCGTTCCACGGAGGGCAGGGGTCCCACACCCCAGAGGAGGGTCGGGGTGACCTCGTTCCACGAGGTTAGGGGTCACACTCCCCCGAGGAGGGCCGGTGTGACCTCGTTCCACGGAGGGCAGGGGTCCCACACCCCAGAGGAGGGTCGGGGTGACCTCGTTCCACGAGGTTAGGGGTCACACTCCCCCGAGGAGGGCCGGTGTGACCTCGTTCCACGGAGGGCAGGGGTCCCACACCCCAGAGGAGGGTCGGGGTGACCTCGTTCCACGAGGTTAGGGGTCACACTCCCCCGAGGAGGGCCGGTGTGACCTCGTTCCACGGAGGGCAGGGGTCCCACACCCCAGAGGAGGGTCGGGGTGACCTCGTTCCACGAGGTTAGGGGTCACACTCCCCCGAGGAGGGCCGGTGTGACCTCGTTCCACGGAGGGCAGGGGTCCCACACCCCAGAGGAGGGTCGGGGTGACCTCGTTCCACGAGGTTAGGGGTCACACTCCCCCGAGGAGGGCCGGTGTGACCTCGTTCCACGGAGGGCAGGGGTCCCACACCCCAGAGGAGGGTCGGGGTGACCTCGTTCCACGAGGTTAGGGGTCACACTCCCCCGAGGAGGGCCGGTGTGACCTCGTTCCACGGAGGGCAGGGGTCCCACACCCCAGAGGAGGGTCGGGGTGACCTCGTTCCACGAGGTTAGGGGTCACACTCCCCCGAGGAGGGCCGGTGTGACCTCGTTCCACGGAGGGCAGGGGTCCCACACCCCAGAGGAGGGTCGGGGTGACCTCGTTCCACGAGGTTAGGGGTCACACTCCCCCGAGGAGGGCCGGTGTGACCTCGTTCCACGGAGGGCAGGGGTCCCACACCCCAGAGGAGGGTCGGGGTGACCTCGTTCCACGAGGTTAGGGGTCACACTCCCCCGAGGAGGGCCGGTGTGACCTCGTTCCACGGAGGGCAGGGGTCCCACACCCCAGAGGAGGGTCGGGGTGACCTCGTTCCACGAGGTTAGGGGTCACACTCCCCCGAGGAGGGCCGGTGTGACCTCGTTCCACGGAGGGCAGGGGTCCCACACCCCAGAGGAGGGTCGGGGTGACCTCGTTCCACGAGGTTAGGGGTCACACTCCCCCGAGGAGGGCCGGTGTGACCTCGTTCCACGGAGGGCAGGGGTCCCACACCCCAGAGGAGGGTCGGGGTGACCTCGTTCCACGAGGTTAGGGGTCACACTCCCCCGAGGAGGGCCGGTGTGACCTCGTTCCACGGAGGGCAGGGGTCCCACACCCCAGAGGAGGGTCGGGGTGACCTCGTTCCACGAGGTTAGGGGTCACACTCCCCCGAGGAGGGCCGGTGTGACCTCGTTCCACGGAGGGCAGGGGTCCCACACCCCAGAGGAGGGTCGGGGTGACCTCGTTCCACGAGGTTAGGGGTCACACTCCCCCGAGGAGGGCCGGTGTGACCTCGTTCCACGGAGGGCAGGGGTCCCACACCCCAGAGGAGGGTCGGTGTGAC